TTCGCCATACCGCGAATGGTCCCTCGTGGGGAGCTAGGCGGCTGAGAGTTTGCCAGCGATACCAATGCACCTTCGGAGCTCCGCAGCGCGCACTTTGTAGCGGAAATCGAAAAGTTCGAGGTGGGAAGGTGGCGGGCTAGCTTTTTTGCCAAAACAACGCTAGATCGTCTGCTGGCAAAGTAAAAATAACTACGATCGAGAACATTGTCGGTTTATTAACTTTTCAGTGAGATAATTCTAAATTCTAATTGAGACTATATAATAAATTAAATCGACAAAGAAACCTCGGTAGATCTCTTATAATTATACAAAAGCTTGTTTATTTCTTCATTTGACATTTGTTTCGAGCCATTTTTTCGTGCGCGAGTCAATGCAAACTATGTATTACCAAACTTTCAACACGCAAGGAACGGGGAACACTCGCGGACCTCGTATCAAATTTGTTGCAAAAAAAAATTTCAAGGGTGATTTTGAAGCAGTGAAGAAAATTGGCGCTGCGATGCGCAGAAATATACTTGAAACTTGAAAGAAATTTAAAAAATCACACCTGAATTTTCAGAAAATCGTATTTGTATTACCGTACCTAGTTGTGAGTTGTTTATAACTCAGATTTTATGAAGATTTTGTCAGAAAAAAATGTAAATTTTTTCCGTTTGGTGGTCATTTCTAGGCTAATATTTCAAAAGTTGCATCAGTAATAGGCCCAATGTTTCTCTTCTCGTACTCGCATGTTATTTCTACTTAGATTAAACATAGGTCTAGGATGGTTAGGGGTAAGACCGGATAACATTATAAAAAAAGATATATCCTTCCACCCTCCCATATCCAAGTTTTGGGCTGATTATTGCCGATCCACCGCAGCAAGGCCATTCAGATTTTCGTACGCAAGCGAAGCGCCCTCTAGTGCTCCATGAATGTGCCTATAAGAGCCCCCTAAAATGTGCATAGACCCTACATAGTACATGTAGATCTAGACTAGAGTCTACAGTTCAATGCAAAACAAATGAAAAAGTGTCATTTTCATGCAAGCAAGCTTGAAAAGTAGCCCCCGAAATGATTTTTTTTTTTTCTGTGCTAGTAATGCAGCTATGTGTGGTCAGGCATGACGTAGTCCGTACACGTAGTGCGTACACACTTAGTCTAAGAGACAACATATTTCTCACATACAAATGAAGGTATGGGACTGAAATGTTTTTACCTGCCCACTCTCCGAATTCTTTGACAAGATCTCGTTTTGGTCTCAGTTTAGGATAAATATGCATCCGGATAACATACTGCACCCTGTAACAGGTGACAATAACTTTCTTTGTCACATAGTAAGCTCCAATCAATGACAAGACGTCAGAGTAGATATGAAAACCGTTCGAAACTTGTTGGAAAAGAAGATCAAAACCATCTACCACTGCATTTGTTGTTGTTGTTGTTTTAATTTTATATAGGCGTTTTTCATTCAGAAGTGAATATTTACGCCTCTTCTCTCAGGATTTTTATTCCTTTAAAATTAGATTTACTTTTTTTGATATATAGATTGGGATAAATTGGATTTTTAAAAGCAGCCATGTTTACCACTAGTCTTTGTTTAAGGCTGTTAACAGTAAACAGATTTGTCATCTCTCTCTTTCTCTCTCTCTCTCTCTCTCTACCTCTCTGATATGCCTGTTTCCTGTCTATCTCTTCCCACTCTCTCTCTCTCTCTCTACCTCTCTGATATGCTTGCTAACTGTCTATCTCTTCCCATCTCTCTCTCTCTTTCTTTCTCAGTCTCTCTCTCTCTCTCTACCTCGCTGTTGGGATTTTTTAGGATTTTATTGAAATCAAAACATCAAAAACCAAGAGCAAACAGTCCAAAGACTGACAACTGTCTTGGGTACAAAAATATAATTTAAATCAAATATACATAATAAAATAGTAGTAATGAATAAATACATAAGTTACATAAGTTAAAATATCAAATAACTAAACTATTATCAATAAATATTGCAAAAAGGACATATAAACAATAAGTATACATCATTACAATTACGTCAAAAGAGGGCTCTCGAGCTGTGCAAAATCTAAATCAGGTACAGACCGAGAGTCCAATAAAAGAAAATTAAAATGCATAAGACTGGGTTTAAAAAAGATCAATAGTGAAAAGAGGGGAATATGTCAGCTAAAGAATAATTTTTTAAATTTAAAGTATTGAGAAGGTACAAGTAACATACAATAAAGAAATTCCCAAGAGAGCATAGTAAGAGAATAGAGTAAGATAGAGGAAGAGAGAGGGAGAAAATAAGAAAGGAGAGGAGAGAGGGAGAGAGAGAGAGAGAAAGAGAGAAGGAAGAGGATAGGAAGAAAGTTAGGGAAATATCAATACCATCTGTAAAATTTGTAAAAACAGTCCAGGTATTCAACATTGTAGACATCATTGCAATTAACCCGAAATACATGAAACATACAATAAAGAAATTCCCAAGAGAGCATAGAGAGAGAAAAGAGTAAGATAGGGGAGAGAGGGAAGAAAAGAAAAGGAGAAAGAGAGAAAGAGAGAGAGAGAGAGAGAGAAAGAGAGAGAGAGAGAGAGAGAGAGAGAGAGAAGGAAGGGGATAGGAAGAGAGTTAGGGAAATATCAATACCAACTGTAGACTCTGTAAAAACAGCCCAAGTATTCAAGCATTATAGACATTGTAATTAATCTGAGATACATGTAACATACAATCTGTAGAATCTGTAAAAAACAGTCCAGGTATTCAACATTGTAGACATCATTGCAATTAACCCGAAATACATGAAACATACAATAAAGAAATTCCCAAGAGAGCATAGAAAGAGAAGAGAGTAAAACAGATGGAGAGAAATAGGAAAACAGAAAGGGGGAGAGAGAGAGAGAGGAGAGAGGGAGAGAGAGAGAGAGAAGGAGATAGGAAGAAAGTTAGGGAAATATCAATAAAATCTGTAGACTCTGTAAAATGAGAAAGTATCTAAACATTGTAGACAATAGACATTATTGCAAGAATTATGAAATACATGTACATAAAGGAAAAAGAAACATGTGTAATCTACCAAAGAAGAATGGAAGAAGAAGGAGGAGGAAAAGAGAAGAATTTGAGAAAGAGAGGGGAAAACACCAGAAAGGAAATTGGAAATTGGTAGATTTACACAAGTTTCATCATGTTGATTACCTTCACTGCCTGTGGTATAAAAGAATTTTGGTATCTGGATGTACGGCATGTTGGTTGGCAAAGAGGGTCACTGTTTCTTAACTGGCGAAAATTTGGTAAGGAATCCCTACGTGGAGGGAGCATGGAAGAATGTCTGGATTGTAAGAGTGATTTAACAAAATTTATGAACAATTGTTGTCGTCTATCTGCAAGGGATGGAATCTGTAAAACTTGAAGGGCGTGAAGGTAATCAACATAATTATATCCCAAAATGATACGGCAAGATCTTTTTTGGACTCGTTCGATCTTGTTCGACTGATTGGCAGTAATAGATGATGACCACACTGGGGAGGCATATTCAACTAACGGTCTAATATACATAATATAAATAGCAACCAAATCCTCTAGTGGAGCTTTGTGTTTTCTAAGAACACAAAGGATGTAAAAACGTCGTGATGCTTGTTTGACAGCATTCTCGACTTGTCTATCCCATTTCATATCAGACTGTAAGTGCACTCCCAATAACTTAACAAACTCAGTAGGCTGAAGGACAGAGTCACTGATGCTAACTTCGGGCATAACAATCTGGTTCCGAAGGAAAGAGATATGCAATACCTTACACTTCTCAGGCTTAGGGGTCATCTGATTATCAACAGAACACTCGGTGATCAAAGATAAATGATCTTGCAATACGGAGGGTTGAGATTTGTGTCTGATTTCAGCGACACTCAAATCATCAACATATTTCCATCTCAGAGGAGTAGAGGTTGCAACATCATTTATCATGATTAGGAAAAGAATGGGACCGAGCCTCGTACCTTGCGGTACTTCACATGTAACAGACAGGGGCCCACTAAAGGTAGATCCTAAACGTACACAGTGAGATCTGTTCTCCAAGTAGCTACACAAGAGAAGGATAGTATTTGGATCAGTACCTAAATCAAACAACTTCTCAATCAGCACATTGTGATTGATGTGATCAAATGCCTTAGCATAATCAATAGTACAGACTGAGGCAACATAACCAGGTTTGTCAAGACCTTTCAAGATCGAATCGATCATACTTATTAAATAATGAGAGGTTGATGATCCTTTCATATTACCGAACTGTTGACTATCAATTTTGCTCATAATGTCTTGATAAAACCATTTAGTGAGAAATGCTTCAAAAACCTTTGCAAAGGTAGGGGTGAGTGATATTGGTCTTAGTTGGTCAACAGTATTACATGGTGTATTCTTAGGGATTGGAACAATGTCTGAAACCTTCCAACAATCCGGAAAATTCCCAGTTTCTAAACATTTATTAAAGACCATAGTCAAAGGACCTGCTATCTCAGGAGCGAATTCACAGATAAGTCTAGTGGGTAGGTCATCATGGTGTGTGGATTTATGCCTGCTCCGCCTGTCTTTCTCTTCCCATATCTCTCTTTCTCTCTCTCTACCTCTCTGATATGCCTGCTCCCTGTCTATCTCTTCCCATCCCTCTCTCTCTCTCTATCTTTCTCTCTCTCTCTCTCTCTGATATGCCTGCTCCCTGTCTATCTTTTCCCATATCTCTCTTTCTCTCTCTCTCTCTACCTCTCTGATATGCCTGCTCCCTATCTATCTCTTCCCATCTCTCTCTCTCTCTCTCTCTACCTCTCTGATATGCTTGCTCCCTGTCCATCTCTTCCCATCTCTCTCTCTCTCTCTCTCTCTACCTCTTTGATATGCCTGCTCCCTGTCTATCTCTTCCCATCTCTCTCTCACTCTCTCTCTCCCCATCTCTCTCTCTCTCTCTCTCGCTCTCTCTCTCTCTCTTCTATTGTCCATAGTTACCCCTCTCACGACATGAACAAAAGTAAATTACCCGAGAAGGAATTATTACGTCATTCCATTTAATAAGACCGTTTTGTGCACAATGTGTCAAAGAATAAAGCAGCTGATTAAAAATTTGAAAATTTACAATCGAAACATACTGTTTAGATCATTGATTTCTATCAATGTTTATGTGGTGAGTGGTGACTTGACGGTACGAACGGCAGGCTCCAATGATTACAAGTTTCCTTTGCACTTGTTTCTGTACATAATAATGAAGCACATGTACAAGATTGTACTCTTCAATGCATTATTTCAAACAATCAAATTTCCAGTGAATTGACTAACCTTTACAGTTGTCAACACAAAACTATATTGGGCTACATGTAGGCATATTGATACTTTACTTTTGAAACGAGATTCAAAATGGATTATATATATTTTATTGATTTAAAAAAAATATTTTAGAGGTAAGGTTATGAGTTCGTTCGGGTTAGGATTAAGGTCAGTGATAACTGATCATCGAGGATTATTTTTTTTCTTGTATCAATTTGACAAAACTCTCAACAGACAGAGAAGACGTCTGACGCCAGGCAAATGGAAAAGATGCAGTTAGTATGCCTCTCGAAATTCTCGATGCGTTTATTACCCTACAGTTGAAAACAAGAAAAGGGAAAATATAAAGATTTATTAAATATATAGATATTTATATGCTGTATCCTTACAATGTGCATGCACCGATTGCATTTCAGAAACAGTAGTGTTATGTGATAGAGGGTGTGATTCTGCTAACGGGATAATGAAGAGGTGTATATGTGCACTCTTAAAGCAGGGTAGAGTTGGGTACAATTTTGAACATAAGAGGTCAAAATAGGAAGATACATGTTTGTTGGATGAAATCTACTCAACCTTCGTTAAACATTGCCCAGCGTTGGTAAACTCTTACCCAACAAACATGCATTGTTCCTTTCTTTTCCTCTTATGAGTAAAATGTTACCCAACCCTTTAAAAAGTATGAAGATACACATGGGAAGAATATAAATTGGATAATTCTCTCAATTTTAATTAATTTTAGGTTATTAGAAATGACTCCGTGCCCTATATACGAAAAGGCAATCCTAAAGCAGAGCAAGTTACCATGTCGTGCTTAGTCATTTAATCATCGTATTGTTAACTCATCAATCAAATGACAACGATGGTTGTTCGAGCCTGACTTGAAGGAAATAAACATGCCCTTCATAATGTTATTTTTTAGAAATGTTATATGCAAAGTCTTTTTGACCGAAATTATGCGCACTTAAAAGCCTCACTGTGTCATGCTTGTCGAGTACTCCTTCATTTCTTAGTCTTTAAAACAACACAAAAAATACAATGCCGGTATTCATGACTATCGTAAATATTGCTAATAAAATTATTTATGCCTGTATTGCACATCCACGAGTCATATATCAGCGTTAAAAGTATTGATATTATTAACTTAATAATTATGTTAAAAATGGCATTGATCATTTTGAGGCTGGTAACGGAGGTGGTATAGATTACATCGAAAGAAATATTATCCAGCCGATTTTTAAAGTTTGTCTTCCTTGATTTTTCTCATTTTCATGACTATGTGATAGAGGTGTCGAATTGAAAAAAATTAGAGGTGGATTATTATTATTCATAGAATGAGCATACTATTTCTCATGCATTTTTATTTAGATTTGGAAATATTGTTAAATACAAGCTCGTACCGTTAGCAACGCACAATGTCTGATATTGTGAGACACTACCGCCTGACTGTCTTAGCTGCTTACAATATTCCTCTACTGCAATAAAAAATAAAAGACAAACAAATAATCGAAACAATAGTAAATCAATAAATCAAATCAAATCAAACAAAATTTGGTTGGTAAAGTTATCACGATATATCATCGGCCAGGATAAGAAGTGATAAAAAGTATCTTTCTGAAAGTGCAAACTTTCTACAAATCTGGTCAGATTACGTCAAAACATCATTGCCATGTTGGCACATTTCAATAGGTGACCGCACAATCATACAGCTATTAGAATGGCTTTTATAGGTTGGTTGTTTTGTAATCGTATTCGTTTTAGTTGTTTGATAACATTATAAATAAATTGCTTACTGTCTTGTTGCTCCTCTACACTCAACGCATTGGAATTGTCGATCTCATCTTCCTCGACTAAAACACTTGCTACCACGGCCAATGCAATCAGAAAGTAGAGAGAAATCATGGTTTTTGACGCCATTTTTAAAGTCTAAGGAAAATAGAATCAACATGGAAATACATTTTGATCATTTGGTCAAAGATACGGTGACATTGCAATGCAATTAAGAATGTCAGCATAGAATCGTGACGTAATGAAACTTTCCTTTTACAGAATGAACAGAAATCGGACAATATAAAGTTATAACAGAAAGTGAAGGAACAATAATGGGCTTCGAGACGACAGGCTGCCAGAAAATACTTGAATTGTGGTTTACTGTGATGAATGCCAGGAGGAAGGCTTCAGAATATCCACATTCAATCATAGTTTTCGCTTTCAGGAACCATCAACTGAGAATGTTTGTAATGCCCTGTTGAAAGATGATGTTCCCGGCCCACTTCTGCACTGCTCTCATTGCATGCACTTTAATAACGGCTTTGACGATGATAAAGATTCAACGCACAGTCTCGTTTTCAAAGAATAGAAGAAGGCGAATGTAATGTCTTTAAAATGCTATCGTGACACAGAAAATATTAAGAAATTGAATTTGATAAATGATCTGACAACAGTGCTTAACATACTTAGTATGTCAAGCAGTAATGAGTAATGTTAGAAGGTAGTCTACCTTCTAACATTACTCATACTTACGTAAAGCTAATCTCAGTGAGCTCTGGTATGGGAATCGTATTTTGAAAGACATTCGCTACGATTTATTCTAGATTGTTGATCCTGCAGCAGATTTCCTGATCTTCATATGCTCATTTCTCAGCCACTATACAATTTCTACCAAAATTATTGTGCAGTTGTCATTTATTTGTAATCTTGAAAATTCTGTGTAAGTTTCGTTGGATTCTGTGAGAATTTAATCTCTATATTTACCAGAACTCAAGATTATCTTTAAACTTACCTCCCCAAATTATTAATTGATATGAGCCATTATAATCTGAGCATGTTTGTTTGGTAAAATGTACCCGAAATTGGGTAAAAATTACCTAGTGTTGGTATAAAGTATTCCCAACAAACATGTATGGGTTTTTTAACCTCCTATTTTTAACATTTTACCCAATTTGCTTAAAGGGGAAGTCCACCCTGATATCGAGTTTAAAACAAATATGAAAACGGAAGAATAAGATGTTATAAACGTTGAATTTACTACGGCGAAAAGTTATTATAATTTAATGCTAGAAAAGAAAAAAGAGAAAATTGGTTTCCATTTTTGGCAAAATATTTTAGGCCTACCAGAAACATTTGTTTGAAAAGATGTATTTCAGTTCAAATTTAATAACATAAGAGACAATAAGATCAAACAATATAATTTTAAATTAATTCATAGAATATTGCCATCTAAAGACAATCTCTTTATATGGAAAATCGTACAGTCTAACGAATGTGAAATTTGTCGTGAAAAAGAAACTATTGAACATTTTATATTTCGTTGCAAGAAATTAAGAGTTTTCTGGAAAATTATCTCAAGAATTATATATTTCATTTTTAAAATAGAAATTGAAATTGATATGAAAATGTTATTGATTGGATATAAAATAGATAACAGAAAATATACTTTACTTAATTTTTGGATAAATTATGCTCAACTAGTTATATACAAAGACTACGTAAAGCGGAACTTTGGCGAAGTACCAACCAATCCAAAGAGGTTAATAAATAATTTTATTTCATCATTAAAATGTTATTTGAAATACAAAGAAAATATAAAATACTTCGATATTGAGGTAGTTAAGAAAGTATAAGAAATGTTAAAATGATCATTTTAAGATATTATGTTGATCTTGTATATAATTCATGTTTCATTTTACTTGTTTTGTAAATAATATATATGTATTTTGAAATGGAACAATAAAGTCCCTCTGAAGAGGTAAAAAGAAAAAAATAAATGTATGAGTTTTTGAAGATGCGATCAATCAATCATCGTTCAAATTGGCAACTCTGTGACATAATTGTTGTGAGGTTATCACCCATTTGCCCTGTACTAAAAGACTTTAAAAGCTTACTCTCTTAAAAAAAAGAGTGAATTTTCACTCTATTTTTCACCATCTTGGGAGTGACGTCCGTGATCACTTGTTTAGGAGTGAAAATCGATTGATTTTAGAGTGCTCTCTAAGAAGAAAAGAGTAAATGTTCACTTTATTTTCACTACATTTTCACACTCCAGAGGAGTGTCGTCCGTGATCACTCGATTTTTTTTACAGAGTATGTAATGGAGATTAATGCCTTACCAAGGGACACCTAGCATCCGTTAGTGTTACGAACCCGAGCCTTCACGTTTACGAGATCACTGGGCCATCTCACCCATCAGAGTTGCCAAAGCAAAGCTCCTGATTAAAGTGCACTAAAAGCCCTCTGCACAAGAGGCGAAGAAATGTCTGAAGAAATGCAGACCAACGCTCAACAACTGAATATACATCAATTATTCCCAAATCCAGACTCTCAACTACCGAAAAAACGTTTTACAGTTGCTGCTTCGAAAGAATATAATTTTAACCTGTCTTGCCACTTTCAAAAGATCCATTAAACATTCCTCTTCCCTCAGAAATAAAGCATGATTTACCTTTTTCTGAGTCTTATGTTTCTCTTCACATTCTGTTACATAGTAAGGGATAAGGTACTTTTTGTTTTAGCGCTACTAAATAATCGATATCATTATCAATACAATTAATAACTGACGGAATCAGAAAGACGTCTCATGTGCAACAGGCATAACGTAAGGGATGTTGGGCCTACCTGATTTCGATGCGGTGTTCGAGTAGAATTCTGTAAGATGATGATATTCTTTCTCGTAGCTCGATGTGACGAAGTGTCTCTATCAAGATATATGTTGAATTAAAGTCTAGATAGCTTCTGGTTTTATAGAATTTCGGAGCCTGCCATTACTATCTTCTCGTAACCGACAAGTCACCGCATGTAAAATTGGATTTTGTTTTCAACACTATGCTGGTGGATAAAACTTTCCAAAAATCAGACCTCAGAACATATTGTTTGATTATTTTGAATTAAAACTTTCAAGCATTGTCATTGTTCGTTACCGACAAGTTACCGCATGTGAAATTGAATATTGTGTTCAACATTATGTTGGTGGATAAAACTTTTCAAAAATCCAAAAAATATGACCTCATAAAAATTGCTTCGATTATTTTGTATTCAAACTTTTAATCATCGAAGCCTGTCGTTCGTACCGACAAGTCCCCACTCATCACAGTCATGTCAGTTTGAACGAATCGATCAATCGTCAAAGAATTGATTTATAATCGCTTTATAATTAATTATTTTATATTTGATATACCTGCATTCGGATTGTTCACGAATGAACATTTACTAGATAACTTAAATGTTCGTTTTCGTTAATTTCATCATTACTTTCTCTTTGTTAAATATTTATAAAATGTTTAATGTTGTTACATCATGCCTTTATTCCATATAAAAAGGAATACATGTTTACATTCAATACCAGGTCCATGTTCCCTTTCCGAAACCAAGGCAGATCGCACTACATATAAAACATATAGAAACAATAATGCATTACAGTTACAAATATATATCAATCATGCATAATAACAATTATATATTAATCATGTATAGTTAAAATTATGCATTAATCATTGATCAATATACATTCATTCATAAATCGATCATGTATATTAACAATCATTAATCGTGCCTGCATCAATCATGCTTAGGTTGGCAACAAAAATTCAATTAAAAAAAAAAAAAATAAGACGGAGTGGAGGAAAAGGAGAAAGTAGGGGGGGGGGTAGAGAGAGAAGAGGGGAGAAAAGGCAAGCAGATGGAGTAAAGGAGGCGTAGGTAGGCGAGGAAGAAAAGTTTGGGAAGAATGAGAGAGAGAGAGAGGCAGAAGAAGAAGAGGACGAAGAAAAAGAAAAAGAAGAAGAAGACGAAATAAGGCAAAGAAGAAGAGGAAGAGAAAAAAGAGAGAGAAGAAGCGTTGAAGAGAATGGAGTGTTAATTAGAGGCCGAGGTATTCCACATCCTTCCACTGTGATTCTTTTCTTGCATTGAATATGACAAAGGATGACACAACTGCGTACCTACTTATGTTCTGAAAGAAACTATTCAGGCGAAGAAGGACTGAACATTTCCTGAATACCCACTTTAGCCGTATTATGTTGTCTCTAGTTATTTGCCCCCTTACTCATATCTCAATAGCATGGTATGCAGTGGCGTACGCAGGATTTTTTCAAGGGGGGGGGGGGGGGGGGGGGGTTAACATTTTGAAATCGGGCCGAAAATTTCGCAACGACCCAGCTAGTCGCTGAATAAGCGGGGAGGGGTGGGGTGGGGAGGGTAAGAGGATACTTTTTTTGGGGGGGGGGGGGTGGGGGGGGGGTCTCAAAAAAATCTCAACGACTCAGCCAGCCGCTAAATAAGACGGGGGGGGGGGGGGAGGTGGTACGAGAACACTTTTTTTTGGGGGGGGGGGGGGGGGGGGTCTCGAAATTTGAAATTTTGAAATTTTGCTCCGGGGGGGGGGTGGTAAGGTCATTTTTTTAGGTCAGCCATTGGCATAATTTTTATTTTTTATTTTTTATTTTCATTAAAAAAAAAAAAGCAAAGGGGGGGGGGGGGTTGCATTACAGTACACACATAACAAAACCAAAGGGGGGTGTTTAACCCCCCCCCCCCCCCCCCCCTCTGCGTACGCGCCTGATGTTATGTCACATTGTAACCATTGTTTCTTACTTCGGCCACAAGTTCTTTGTACCGGTCGAGCTTTCTCGTGTGAGAAGCATTTGTGTTTGTCTCAAAGGGCACTGTTAGTTCGATCATTAGCATTTGTTTCATTCATTAGGGACTTTTAGATTTGCGTGGACTGATACGTGGTACTTCCATTCACGGCAGTGCTTTAAAAGGACGTCGATCGTAGCATAGACCTAATGTCTTCGTGCGAATCTAAAAGTCCCTATTCATTCCCAAATAACGACGAGATCTGGGCGTTGAGATGAGATAAATATGGGATGGGATGGTTCCGCCCGCAACGGTGAAACCCTGAATATCAGCATGAACTTGTTCGTGAGGGAGGGACTCTTTCGAAATCAAGGCAAAATACTATATATTCATATTTTCTTTACGCAAGAAAGAGAGGTACAGAGAGAAAGAAAGAGAGAATACGTTAACTGCGAATTATCGAGTACAACTCTGAAGCACATCCTTCTCAAAATGATTCAAATCGCTGTCAATATTCAGAATCTGAATAGGATAAATCCACAATATACACCAACGCTGCCACCGCCTCCATCGCTCCAACCATAGCCCATATGCCAATACACCATGTTAATCAAATATGGAAAGTTTCCAAATGAATTTTGCATCAAATTCTAATATACCATGCACTGAGAGGTTTCAGTTGAAATCATACATTCTCTGTGACTGGCTTAATTAGCACTAGTTTATGAGGGACCAGTCACCGAAGATCTATCATTTTACAGGTGCCTCGGAAAGAGTGCATGTTATTTTTTCATATATATATCCTTCATCAAGAAATTTAAAAAATGTATAACCTCATCAATACAATATAATTATCAAAATACATGCTTATATATGATACATGTATACAATCACATCAGTAGGTCCTACTTGCACAATGATCTCTCATTACATTTCCTTTAGAATAGACAAAGCATACTTCTGCTATAGTTAGAAGAAAAACAATCTGACAGTTACGTAGTTTTTCAAAATAGAAAAGAACCTAAATCGTAACTGATTTTTGTTGTCTTTTAAAAGAAAAGAATAATACAATAGATGTATTGTTCCCCTCCACCTTTTAGTTTGTTTCACATACTCCCCTATAAGAGAGAAAATATCTTACACAAATCCACACACATTTTAAACTGAATATAGTGTTCGACAACCCGCTAGTGCCGGGATAAAACTTTCTAAAATATGACCTAAAAAAACATGGTTTGAATATTTGTTATCCAAACTTTTAATCATCGTCAATGTTATCATTCTGGCATCTATTTTTTTTTTGGTACTGTCTTGTCTGTGTATTAACCACAGCTCTAGTCGTTCGTAATTGACAAGTCACTGCATACAAGTAAAATTGAATATAATGTTTGACAACATGCTGGTGGATAAAACATTCCCAAAATCCGGCGAGAGATATGACCTCAGAACATAATGTTGGATTATTTTTTATCCAAACTTTTAATCATCGTCAATGTCATCATCCTGGAATCTGCTTTTTTTTGTTAACAGTCTTTTGTATTGTTTGATTGATTAAGTAGATATCGAAGCCTGTCATCCGTAACTGACAAGTCACCGCATTCATGTAAAATTGAACGAATCAATTAGCGTCACAGAATTGATTTATCATCGCCCTGTAAGTTATTATTTTACATGTTAGTATACCTGCATTCGTATCCAATACGAATGAATATTTCATAGCTAGCTAAAATGTTTTTTTTTTGATGAATTTCCTCACCATTTCTTTCACTCTGTTTAATACTGGTAAAATGTTGACTTTGTCTTAATCAAGGCAAAATATTATATTCATATTTTCTACATGTAAGGGAGAAAGGAAAGAAAGAGGGAGAGAGAGAGATAGAGAGATAGAGAGGAAGAATTCTTCTGTCTTGTCTGTGTATTAACAACAGCTCTAGTGGTTCGTTACTGACAAGTCACTGCATACAAGTAACATTAAATATTGTGTTCAACATTATGCTGGTGGATACAACTTTCCAAAAATCCGAGAAATATGACCTGAAAACAAATTGTTTGTTTATTTTGTTGTCAAACTTTTAATCATCGAAACCTGCCGTTCGTACCAACAAGTCACCACTCACCACATTCATGTAAGTTTGTACGAATCAATCAAGCGTCAAAGAATTGATTTATCATCGCTCTATAATTAATTATTTTATTTTTCATATACCTGCATTCGTATCGTTCACGAATGAACATTTACCAGATAACTAAAATGTTCGTTTTTGATTAATTTCCTCCTCATTAATTTCTCTCTGTTAAATACTGATAAAATGTACACTTTGTCTTAAATAAGGCAAAATATTATATTCATATTTTCTTTACGCAGGAGAAAGAGAGGGAGAGAGAGAGAGAGAAAGAATACGTTAACTGAGAATTATTGAGTAATATGAAAAGCATTCTTTTCAATATGATTTAAATCGTTGTCAATATTCAGAATATAAATAGGATAAATCCACATTACACAGCAACGCTGTCACCGCCTCCATCGCTCCAACAATTGCCCATATGCCAATACACCATGTTGGTCTAATATGGAAATTTTCCAAATGAAACTTGAATAAAATTGTAATATACCATGCACTGAGAGGTTTCAGTTGAAATCATACATTCTCTGTGACTGGCTTTGCACTAGTTTCTGAGGGACCAGTCACCGAAGATCTATAATTTTACATGTGCCTCGATAAAAGTGCATGGCATTTTCATATATATATATATATATTCTTCATCAGGAAATTAAAAAAAATGAAATGTAAGCTATAAAGAAAAACATAGGAATTCAAGTATTAATTCACATCTTTCTTTCAAAATACACACTGACTCACACACGCGTTGATTACGAAGAGAGCTGCCCATTCCACAGTGACAGGTATATTTATATATATATATATATATATATTTTTTTTTTTTTTTTTTTTGGGGGGGGGGTTGATTTGGAATGTAGTTTTATTCTTTTTCTCTCAACAAACACAATCAATTTCATAATAAAGGTACACAATAGTGCAAAATTAAATTACGAAAGACCTAATACAATCTTACTTTATAACCTCATCAATACAATATAATTATAAAAGCATAAGCTTATATAATTATACATGTATACAATCACATCAGTAAGTCCTACTTGCACAATGATCTCTTA